CTTGCCCCCCCCCCCCCGTGTGATCTGGAAAGCTTCATTCCTGTCTCTTTCCAAACCCCACCCACTCAAAGAGTCTCCAAACAAAGGAAAGGCACCAAAAAGCCAGTTCTGCAAACTTGTCCACTACTGCAGCTCCTTCCCTGAAGTTGCCCAAGCCCCCATCTAAAGTGCTCAGCTTTTGACCACACTTGGGGCTAAACCCAGGTTGCAGCAGACATATCATCACGCCATACCTACAACCTATAAAATCTCCCTGCTGTTGTTTGTGGGTTCAGCTTCTCCAGCCTCAATGTCTAGGACCAGAGAACCCATCCAGGAGTTGTTTTGCTCAAATAAACCTGTTGTTACACTTTTTAATTCAGCTTGATCCTGCTTACTGCATCAGTGGAGAAACCTATGATTGGGCCAGGCAGTGGTGGTGCACACTCGGAGTACTCGGGAGGCAGAGGCAGGCGGATCTCTGTGAGTTCGAGGCCAGCCTGGTCTACAGAGGGAGATCCAGGACAGGTTCCAAAGCTACACAAGAAATATGTCTTTAAGGGGGGGGGGAGAAAAAAAAAAAAAAAAAAAAGAGAGAGAGAGAGAAATGTATCATTGGGGGACATAAATCATATTACTAATAATTAAAATTTTAAAATAAACTTTGAATTTAACAAAAGGAAGAAGGGAGGAAGGAAGACGGGCAGCAAGTTCTGCTGTGTGAGTGTGTGAGAACGCAGGCTGGAGTAATCTAAAGCAGTCCTTGGACAATGAAACCTCACCATGTGGGCTTTTTATTTTCCTTCTACCCCACATTTCCCAAGAAAGATTACTTATTAACTATCTAAAACAAAACAGGCCTGTGCTTTGAAGGCATTCGTAGCATCCTGACTCAGCCGCAGGCATCGGTAGCTCCTGTGCCCACGTTTACCTTATCCCTGGGACACAGCTCCTGTCCCGATCCTTCATGAAGACTCAGTGGGACCATATTGTCAGGTAACATGAAGTATTTCCTCTGGGGGCCGCGATGTGCCAGGCACTATACTGGCATGTCTGATTTCAGAGATATAAAAATACACACACCCACTCACATTCTGGTAAATGCCTATGACTTGTCTCTCAGCCCCACCCTAAAGCCATCCCTCTTCCGCTCAGGGATCGTTTGGGAGCCAACAAATTTGATCCTGGCCCCATCAGAGCAGTTCCAGGAAATATGTAGACACTTGTGGATAATGGACCTTCTCTGTGAGGCTTGACTTACGCACGAACAACCAGGGAGAGACTTGTTGCCAAGTGGAAAGAATCCCGAGAACAGGAAATGAGACAGGGTCCCCAGGTAGAGTCAGGAGGTCAGACACAGGGTGAACAAGCTGCACAGGTGGAGGAGAGCTTTAGAGGAAGTGTAAGGAACCCCAAAGTACCAGAAAATTCTGCTTAGGCTCTGACCAACATCTGAAAGAAAGATATAAAAGAAAAAGAAGAAATAGTTACACCTTCCTGAGTCATAACTCAGAAAGACAGAGACACCCAGTTCCAAACTCATGGCAGCTCATGGGAACTGGTTTTGTAATTTTAAAATTACATTTATGCTAGACATAGTGGCACACGCTTTTAATCCCAGCACTCAAGAGTCAGAGGTAGGCAGATTTCTGTGAGTTCGAAGCCAGCCACAGTTACACAGTGAGACCCTGTGTCAGAAGAAAATACATAAATAGAAAACAATAAAATTTGTATCTGTCCGCTTGGTGTGGGTATATGTACGCATACTTGCCGCAGCATAAGTGTGCCAGACAAAGCACAACTCTCAAGAGTCAGTTCTCCCCTCCCCCTCTAGAACCCAGAGTAGAACCCAGGCCATCACGCTAGGCACAAAGCACCTTACCTCAGTGAGCCATTTGAACAGAGGCAGGAGCCTGTGAAAGGGACTGCTGGGTGCCTGAATGGAACTCAGGCCCCTGAGAGTGCAGTCCACCAAGAAGCCTTGGAGACCACACAGATGAAGCAAGTACATCAATATGTGGAAGACAGAGGTGATAACCAGGGAAAGTCAGGCCCTGGGAGTGCCTGGGGATTATCAACTCAGTTTGGTGTGGAGCGGAGGGAGTAACAGCCTTATCTCCATGAGTCAAAATGACACACTAGCTAACTGAAATAGTTATTAGATACTCTATTTCTCACTAGAGAAACAGAATTTATAGAATGAATATATATAATTTATTATTAATTATATATGAATCATATATAATGAATTGTGATGTATATAATTTATAGTGAATTGTGTGTGTATGTACATATATGTGTGTATATATATACACACATATATGTATGTATATATACATATATATATAAAGGAAATTTTTGAGAATGGCTTACAAGCTGTAGTTCTACAACTAATCCAACAGTGACTAGTCCAAGAATCCAGTAGTTGCTCAGTCCACGAGACCGGATGTCTCGGTTGGTCTTCAGTAAACCCTGGAACCTGGAAGAAGTAGACTCCAATGCCAGTGGAGGAATGGACTTACTAGTGAAAGTAAAATTGAGAGTGAAATCAAACAGGCAAAAAGAAAGCAAACTTCTTTCTTCCATGCCCTTTATATAGACTGCCACCATGAGGTATAGCCAGCTTAAAGATGGATCTTCCCACCGCAAAGATCCAGGTTAGAATTAGGTCTTCCCATGTCAAATGATTTAAGAAAATGTTCCTCACAGATGTGCCCAGCCATTTGCATTTTAGTTAATTCCACATATAGAAAATGGACAACCAAGAATAGTCCTTTTTCTCCTGTTTTTGTATCTGCCACTTTCTCCCAATAACACTATCACCCCCATGATAAAGATGTATTTGTCATTTGTCCTGACACACAGTTCCTAAGATCCTTGAAACCTCTGGAAGAATGAGTGGCTTTTGCCTTTGGGTGATGGGTGAATGGTGAACGGAGGCCCTCGGCAGCTTCAGGGTGGAGCAACAGCCAGAAGCTCGGCTTACCCCTAAAACTCCAGTGTTTGGGAAGCTACTGCAGGAGACAGGGTTTGGAGATTGCAGAAGGTTTGAGGCTGGCCTGGGCTACGGTTTTAGTTAGAGTTTCACTTTCTATAATAAAATAATATGACCAAGAGCAACTTGGAGAGGGAAAGGTTTATTTTGCTTCCACTTCCACATCACTCTTCTCTGCAGGAAGTCAGGGCAGGAACTCAGGCAGTGCAGGAACCTGGAGGCAGGAGCTGATGCAGAGGACAAGGAGGATGTTGTTCCCCTGGCATGCTCAGCCTGCTTTCCTATAGTGCAGAGGACCACTAACCAGGGTGGTAACACCCACAATGGGCTAGGTCCTCCCATATCTATTACTAATTAAGAAAATTTCCCACAGGCTTGCCTGCAGCCCCTATCTTATGCAGGCGTTTTCTCAGTTGAGGCTCCCTCCTCTCCAGTTACTCTAACTTGTATCAAACTGACATAAAACCAACCAGCACAGCCGGGCAGTGGGCAGTGGTTGTGCTTGCTTTCCACGTCTCTAAGCCCAGCACTCGAGGGCAGAGGCAGGTGGATCTCTGTGAGTTCAAGGCCAGCTTGGTCTACAGAGCAAGTTCTGGGACAACCAGAGCTATACAGAAAGACCCTGTCTCAAAAAGAAAGAGAAAGAAAGAAAGAAGGAAGGAAGGAAGGAAAGAAAGAGGAAAGGGAAAAGGAAAGAAAAAACAGTTCAAGGTCTCAACCGTGGGCTCTGTTTAGCTTGGGGATTCACCTCAACCCCCCCCACACCCCTGGCACCCATTTTTTTTTTAATGTTGGGCAGAAAACTCCACTTCAAGCTCCCTCCCCTGGGAATTGCCCCAGTCCAAACTCCACCTCCAAGAAAACTCGGCAAATGGTGACCCCCCTCCCCAGGGAAGGTCAAGGCCACTCCCACAGGCTATTTAAACTGCTCACTAGAGAATGAACCCAAAGGTCTTCCCGTCGTCGTCGTCGTCGTCCCCCCCCCCCCCCCCCGGTCTTTCAGTTCTCTGTTCTCCTCTCCATGTTTCCCGGGAAGTGGGGCACCCGGGAGTGCTGACATCCATTAAACCTGGGTTCTTTTCTAATTCAGTCTGATCTGGTTTGATTTGGATTATTGCATTGGCAGAGAGTTTTGTCGACCAAGGAAAAATACTTAACAGGCTCCAGTTAAATAAACAATAAATACTTTCTTATTTCGAGAGGAAGAACCAGGGCATAGTCACAGTCATATCAAAGCAAAACCAAACTCCAACAGTATGAATAACAACTGCATGACCATTGTCTGGGATTCACTCGTGACCTTCTGTGCTTCCCCTGCTCTACCCTCTATAGCACAGAGGTCCTGACTTCCTAGGCTCAGGGTGACTCCGCATGAGTTTAAATACAATAACAAGAGAGACCTAGAGGTGTGCTCTGCCCTGTTACCGAGCCGCCACACCACACGCTGCAGCGGGGAGCAAAGGCTGGAACTGAAAACAGCTGCCTCGCGGATCCGACTAATCTTGTCCGTTTCCACAGGACCAGCGATAGCGGTAGCAGGGATAGTTTAAGGAAAAGCAGAGCTGGTAGGACACTGGCAGAGCATTCACAGGTGGATGGCTGATAGTTTGAGGATTTATACCGTAGCTGAAAATGTGAAAACCCGCGAAAACAGCGGACAAACACTGCAGGGCCTATAGAAGGCCTCTCTACAGGAGGGTGTTAAGGCCTAACTGACTCCGGTCCAGGCGACTCGAAAGTCAGAGGCTAGAGGCCACTCTGAGCGATCTCTCACAGCAGGGACCACTTACAAGAGAAGAAAAGGAAAGGAAGAAGAAAGAAAAATTCAAGGGACCCCAGACCCCCAAATCAAATGCACCACACACCACACAGTGTGTGCAGGGCTAGCACAGGAGGACCAACCTAGTTAGTCCAGTCACGCTTTTAGCTGTGGGAAGCAACCAGAGATGAATGTCAGTGAAGGGCTCAACCGTAGCCGTGAAGGCTGTGGTCGGCTGACTGGAAGGGGAAACTTACCACCAAAGTTGCTGATGTGCAGACAGATAGAATGCAGAGCTGTTGTAAAGAAACCTGGTTCCCGAACCCAGGGTCCCACAGGTCCTCAGCTGGCCCACCTGCGGGTGGGAGGGAATGTGGGGAGCCTGGCCAAGTCACGAGCACCAAATGTTATAGTAAAAGTAAAACGGCACTGTTGCCTGAGTGGTTGCAGCGGGCAGCGGGCAGCGGGCAGCGGGCCACGAGGAGCCACAGTGGTAAAAAGCTGTGGTTCCCCAAGTGGCCCATAGGCCACAAGAGCCAGTGGGTCCCAGGCAGGGAGCTGCGTAGCAGGTGAGAGACAGAGACAAACCATGCAGAGAAAGTGGGTATTTATTTAGTGGGTTATGGAAGGGAAAGGGGAGAAGAGAGAAGGGGAAAGAGCAGAAAGAGGCAGAGACAGAAAGAGAAAGAGAGGAGGGGAGGGAGGAGAAGGGAGAGAGGCAGAAGCTGCCTCTTCAGGAGAGAGACAGAAAGGAAGGAACTCAGACTGGAAGTAGAAGGAAGATCTGCTTGCCTCCGTGGATAAGGGAGGGAGAGGGCAGGGCTTGTCTCTTAAAGGGACAGGACAACCATTACAAGCTCTGCGTGCTGACCCTCAAGAAACACTTTCAGATTTCCCCACAGTGACACTAGTCTTCTTTTAATTACTACTAATTTCTCAGCTCCACTTTACTGGTAACTATTGTCTCTATAAAGCAGAGGTTTCACTTCAGTGGCACTGGTCTCTTGTTAACCATGACTAATTCTTCAGTCACAGCTGACCAGAATCACAGCATCTTAATTCAAAACAGCAAACAACCCTAAAAGAGTCTTTAAGCTTCCCTCTGAAATTTAACAAGCCAGGCCTCCATTGTCGGAATTACCCTCAACACATTTATCTTCAAAGCACTCAATACTCAATGTTTTTTCTAGCCAAAGTTTCAAAATCCTTCCACAATCCTCCCCAAACAATATGGTCAGGTCTGTCAAACAATATGCCACAACCCTGGAACAATTTCGGTCTTAGCTAGGGTTTCTATTGCTGTGATAAAACACCATGACCAAAAGCAACTTGGGAAGGAAAGAGCTTCTGTCCACAACATGTCCATCATAGAGGGGAGTCAGGGCAGGAACTCAAATAGGGCAGGAACCTGGAGGCAGGAGCTGATGCAGAGGCCATGAAGGGGCTCTGTTTACTTGCTTGCTCCTCATGGCTTGCTCAGTCTGCTTTCCTTGAGAACCCAAGACCACCAGCCCAGTGATGACCTCACCCACAATGGGCTGAATTTTCCCGCATCAATCACTAATCAAGAAAACTCCTATAGGCTTGTCTATAGCCCCATTGTACAGAGGCATTTTCTCAATTGCAGTTCCTTTCTCTTAGGACTATAGCTTATGTCAAGTTGACACAAAACTAGTCAGGCCAGGAGGTGGTGGTGCACGCCTTTAATCCTAGCACTTTGGAGGCAGAGGCAGGTGGATCTCAGTAAGTTCAAGGCCAGCCTGGTCTACAAGAGCTAGTTCCAGGACAGGCTCCAAAGCTACAGAGAACCCCTGTCTCACAAACAAAACAAAAACAAAAACAAAATCCTAGCCAGCACAGCCACTGGATTAATTACTTCTTCTTCTTCTTCTTCTTCTTCTTCTTCTTCTTCTTCTTCTTCTTCTTCTTCTTCTTCTTCTTCTTCTTCTT